CGACATTTGTCAAGTTCAAAAATGAGAAAATGATCTTTTTAATATTCATTTTAATAATAAAACGAAAGTTAAACTAGTCCAATTTTCGATCTCATCAATTAGGTTTGTTCAATCTTTCTTAGACATACGAGATAGGGGAATAGAAATATTTTTCAAACTATAAAATATTAGAAGAGAATCTTCTACTTACTCGAGAATCGTTGTCTTAATTTTAAAGAAATTAAATGTTTCTTGATCTTTCGATCAAATTCAACTTTTGTAACACGAAAAGAAACACCTGGTGCAATAAGTTCTTCTTCTTCACTAGGATATTCAGATAAATCAACAAGATCAGCAGTAAAAGCAATAACAATTTTCATAATAAATAAAGTATTTCCAAATTCTTCTGCTTTCTTACGATTACGACTGCATGATGTAAATGCTTGAAATGAGCCATACATATTAGAATGTTTGGTCATTTCTTCATATTTAGCAATTTGTTCACCATTTAGATTTGCCCCTCGATAAAGTGTTTTATTTGCTTTAGCTCTTTTATTAAATGGATCATCCCATAACAATAAACAAAATGGCCCCAGTGTACGAACTTTACTTCTCCATACTTCTTCATGATCTTTATCTCCAACTAATCGCATTGCTGTATTTAAAGTTTTATACAGAAAACTTTCTAATGAATATAAATATGCACAACATTTCCATACTTCTTCAATTCCTTGATTTTTCTTTTCTTTAAGCATATTTGCTAATTCTTTAGCTTCTTCTTCCTTTCGAATATATTTTCCTTCTTTAATAATACCTTCAGCAGCTTTATCAACAAGCATTGGAATCATTTCAGGTTTTTTTGACGGTAATTCGTGTGGTTCGAGTTTTAAATCTCTTCGAACTTCAATAATAAATGGTGATACCCAACCGTATTCACCACCAAATGATCGTCCTGTACTAACAGGAAGATCTACAAAACGTTGCTCTCGCAAATGTTTGTCTTCTCTTTTGCGCACCACTCGTTTGACAGGCCTTTGTTTATGATCATCCGTATTTGATACTTGTAAATTTTCTTTAAAATCAATATAATAATCATCCAAAATTGCTTTTTCTTTTTTATTTGAATATGCTCTTTCCATAATAAGATTTTCTACATCGGAATAATGACTCCATTCTGCTGGCTCAGATTTGGACCATGGATTTGGATTCGATTGCCACATCCATTCGACGGATTTTAGGGAGTTTTTTGATATTGTAGATGATGCTGCTGCGGCCATTTTTTCAATTTTTTCAATTTGATTTTCAATGTTACAATTGTATTTAATAACACTTGATTTATTAAATAAAAATCTAACAAAAAGAAAAATATCAAACTGTAATTAATCAAAGCATAGAAAAGAATTCAATCTTGAACTATTTCATTAATTTCGAACTCTTATGAAGTATTTTTAATTTTGATCAAATCTTAACGATTCTTCTAAAGTTGCTTTAGTGTTTTCTTTTATGTTTCTGCGAATTCTGTCAAAATTTTCAAAAGTCATCCATTGAATTATTTAAAAATTCAGTGTACGAAAAAATTTATCACTTTTTTAAAAGAGCCTTCTGTCTAATCCGTTCAGCACACCACTCCGCCGATCGAATGTTAACTCATGTGCAAACGATGATTTACCGGTGAGATGACTCCAGTAGAAGTTCGAGTCATGTCATACTTATCACTTACAAACACTTCATTCTAAATGTAAACAACTATTGTTTTTGAATCTTGATTTTGTTCTATACTTACATAGGCGCGAAAGAAAACGATGAATACATTCTGTGCTCTGGCACAAATCCCCCGAGGAGTTCCTGTCGAGAATCCCCGGAGAACTTTTTTTTTCCGCCATACTCCATAAAATTCGGAGACTGTCTAGAGATATACCAGGGTGTACCCAGTGTTCCTTGAAGATTTAGCAATTTTTCGAGGACTTCCCTGTAATCCATTGAGGGATTCTTCACTAGAGGATGACTAGAATCATCTGTATTTTGTACATTATCATACCTTCGATCCAACTGAATATTCTATCCACTTATTCCTTTGAATTTTCTTCTCACTACATAAAGATAAACAAAGAATAATTTTCTATGATCAGCATAGGCGGTGTTATTAACTAATGAATATTTTTATGTAAACATATTGTATCATAGTGATTTTTATACATACAGTCATTTTGCTTTGTTTTTTGAAGAAAAATTGATTTTTCAAGAAAATAAGTAATGTTAACAATGACGAAAACTGAAAGATGCAATTTTATTCAAAAAAATTCATTTATTTCATAAACTATTAATAAACACTGGTTCCAAAGATTTTTTGAGAACTGAAACAATAACCGTTTCTTTTCATTTCTAAGAATCGGAACCGCAGATCTGATTCCGGGTAACGGTTAGAACCGCAGAGCTCTAAACAGTATCGTGCGCGACATTTCTGTGTAAGATGTCAGTACAGATTGGAATAGAAAAAAATACAATAGCTATAAAGACAATTACTTCTACACGCTATTTAGCACCAGTTTTGGCGAAAGAAGTAACCCTTGAAGAAAATAGTGTTCATTTATAGAGTTTTAACCCAAATTAATCGTGTCGGATAATCCGAATTTTCGTTCAATCCCTTCAAAATCTATACTCTATTGCTCGATCAGCTTTGTTAGTGTTATTTTTTGGAGAAATCAATTAAGTACAACATTTTGCGAAACTCATTTGGAATGAAAATTCTCTCATCTCGATTACTTTTGATTAAACCTTATAAGAAAAAAAAAACTAGTTGTTATGTTCTCGACAAAAATATTTCTTTCGTCAGAAACTGATGGAAACTGGCCCAAAGCAGTCAAAATATCTATTGGTATTGCTACAGATTGGTAGGCATCAGAGACAGAAACTGGGTCGAGTCGAGTTTGAGCCGAAGGACTCAGAATTTGGAAAGTCTTCTATAAATCTTTGAGAAGTTTGTTGTCAAAGGTTATTTTGGTCCTTTGGTTGGTCGATATGACACAAGATTTATTCATCGCAAGTCAGTTAATCTCTTTCACTTCATTACACATTCCCGAGCTATGAATAGATCTCGAGAAACCAACTTTAGATCGAAACTGAGTCGAGTAATCAGCAACTCGACTCATTTTGGTTTCTGATAGGTATAATACTACTTATCGATTGGGATCAGCAACTGAAGTAGAACCTATTCCATTGAACTAGTTAAAGTGGGACTGTAAAGAGTTTTGATGATGATGTGGACGTCGATGGCGATCTTGTTCTTGATGTAGGTGTAACTGTCATATGAGTTTGGGGTGTACAATTGTAGCTACCAATGTGGTTAGTTGGGTGGGTTCAGTCTGTTTCTGGGTTTCGGTGGTAGTGTGCGCTTTAGTGGGTGAGTCTGAGTCTGGGTCTGGGTAATGGCATAACCAGGATAGGATTAGATTGGGCTGAGCCCAGCCACCGCAACTTTCAGCCGAACCACCGACCGTTTAAAAAAGCAATTGTTTTTTAGAACAATGACATCAACAAAGCATAAGACACCTATATCTTCTTCGTTTTCTTGCTGATAATAGAGGCGTGTGTGCTGTCTTTTAAGCAAATTAGACATATTCAGGTCAGATTAAACGACTTACTGCCAAACTAGAAAAATCAAAATGTGAGATGCTGATAGCATGTACGAACTGAAGTATTCGGAGCTTAAAGAGAGACCCGCTTCCCCCCTCCCCTTTCCAAACCCAACATTTTCAAATTTTTCTTTTTTTGTTTTTTGTGCTCTACATGTGCCTTCAAGTGTCCCCTCTCTACTGATGACATTTTGAGAACTCACACATAGCTCTATATCAAAAATAAGATCGAAAAGATAGAATGATCGCCGTAGGGACATAGCACGATTTTTTCTTTCTTTTTCGGTTTTCTAGAAACCAGATTTTTTAGCAGAAATCTACAGAATCGTCTCCGTTTTTCAGGCACAGTACATTCGATCGGGATGAAATTTTCTCTACACATATTAGAGATACTTTAGAGTGGCTAATTTATTTGTTTTGAAAAATATTATACCGCTGACTTTTTGCGTCTCACACCACATCCACCATCCAATAAAATATACGTTTTCAGGGTGCTCTTCGTATTTGGGCTTTTTTATTCGAACAGAACGAGATAGAAAGAAACAAAAAAAGTAGCCACCCTAAACAGTGTCTGGCATCTGTAAAAAAATTCGGCTCGATAGAATGTACTGCGTCTAAGAAACGGAGGTGATTTGGAGGGCGACTTTTGGCCATTGTGGCCCCAATAACTCTTAGGAAGATGCTTTGCGAAATTTTGAGTTTACGACAACTTTTACTCCACACATCGAGATCCATCAGTTGTGAAAGTTTCAAATGTTTTTTATTAGCCGTTCTGAAAAAGTGCCGGAATGGGTGTGTGGGTGTGTGTGGGGGTGTGGAGTGTGGGTGGGTGTGGGTGTGGGTGTGGATGGGGTGTGGGTGTGAGTGTGGGTGGGTGTGGAT